ATATTTTTAGATTTTAGTTACTTTTATAATAATAAATAAAGAATAAATATAAAAAAACAAGAAATAAAGTACTTACCCAATCTTCTTTTTTCTTGCTCTCTGGTTTTCGACGAGAGTTAACCCTAATTTTTTATAACATAGATAGTAATGCACTTAATAATTTTTATTTAATTATATAATGCACCAGAGAATATAGATTAATAACATGCAAAAAGTAGACAAATTCACTTACCTCTCAAAATTTTCCTGGCTTTCTAGCTATGTGACAAGAGCCGTTACAAATTCACCCAAGCTAGTTGTTAACTTTCCCACTGGAACGAATCTGGTACTGTGAGTGAAATTGACGATATTCCGTTCAGAATACAACATTATACTATACGTCATTTGGTAGATGATAAACTTGACTTTCTATTGGTTATATAAACATAAGAGAGAACTATCAACGAATTCTGAAAAAGAAGATGTGACAGGTGGGTGTGCCAGGATGGGTCTGATTTTCTATTCAATAGCTCTGTAACCATACAAAATTGAAGGCTATAAAAATTATGGTTTGCTTGAGCAATAACGATTTTATAGAGAGTATTTTACGTTTAATTTTGTACTTTTTTTGGGGGGGTTGATAAAATAGGGATGATGACATGCTAAGAGAAAATATGTCATGTGGGTCACACTAGTGGAGATTCAGGATATTTTTAAATATTCCCTTGTAGAATTAAGAACTTAAAACTTGTATGCTATTAAAATATGGATTATTAGCTCATATTTTATGCTATTCTAATTGGTATAACATAAACAAAAAGTGGTTTAATAAAATTTTGAATGTAAGACACTAAAACCTCGTGTCATGCACAGTAAAGGGTACCTGGAGCGATAGGGTTAATGTACACCTCTACATATATTTTCAAGAAACATTTGAATTCTTATGTAGGTTTACTTAAGAAATCAAATGTAAGTTCAGTCATGTTCTCCTGACAAAGTCATAATGGCAAAAGTTAATGAAAACTTCAATAAAATTAGTGTTATCACCTGAAGTATAGTTGTGTATAATTATTTAAATATACAGTATATTTCAAAAACTGCATGTGATACAACTTCAAAAATTACATTTAAAACAGAATTTCTACTCATAGTAACTTTGGTAGATTTTTAATTAAAAATACAAATTCACCTTTTCACCTGCTTGGCACAGAAATTAGGCCAATAGTCACAGTCTTTCTCCACCATCCTTTTGATACTCCGTAGGTGCTCAAGTCTTCGTTGATATTCATTGCTGAAAGAACATTAGATACTGCTAAGTATACTTATTAAACAATGTTTTAAACGATCCTGCTCTAAATTATATTTTAAAGGAGTAAAATGAACTTCCGTGTATTTGTAGACACACACAAAATAAAAAGTTGGTGCACAAACTACTCAAACCTCCACTAACATCAGTGGCTTGTGAATAAACTATAGTTCCCACAGCAACATCTGCAATACAGTTCTTAATGTACACAAAATGTTTTCATATTCTATTATTAGAAATGATTTATTGCTCTCTCCCTCTTTGCTTCTTATATTTTGACGTTTAGATATAACTTGGAAAATCCAATTTTCACAACTTTCTCTGAAAGCATTCAATGTTGACTAGCCTACAGGTTGTAAGAAATTATTCATAAAAAAACACCACATAAAACAAAACAGTAAAACAAAAAGAGCCCAAAACAAACACCACGTAACTAATACTATCAAGTTATTCCATACATACTCCACATGTCCAATGTTGAAAGTAGAGCAAAGATGACAGCAATAAAACACGCACCACACATTCAAGCACGACACATAAAACTGTGATAATGAAATTTAGTCAAATGGATGGCAACTGTCTATTGTAGAAACACAAGCACAGAAGACAACATTTCAAAAGTTTTCCACCCTTCGTCTTCAGGTCAGTGTCTGGTGTTGTCAGTCTTCATATCAAAGAATACATAGGACCATGTTTTGTGTAAAGGCACTCAGTACCATCAGTTAAGACTATGCACAGTTTTGGATTCTTTGCTTTCAATACTTTTCCTTTTAGTATTTCATTTTTGGAAGAATAATTTCAAGACCTTTTTTTTTTCTTATTTCTAAGTACTTCTAGTTCTAACTATTCAAATATAAAGTAATACTACTCTCAATATGAAAATAAAGTGTTTTCTTGCAGTTGGTTTACATTTCATCATTAATAGAAGATTCTTTAAGCACAGCCGAATTCTAATTTTTAAAAAAACATATTACAAAGAAGGCTGCATATTCTGAAATAAGATAATGAATCTCTTCAATGAATATTTGGTAAGAAGAGAAACTTTCTAGAAATATTGTAAACTACTCAAATATTCAACAACAAAAAGCTAGCACTCTGACAGAATAGCTTTATCAGATTTTTTTAATGAGATTTATTAACCTTGTTAATCCTGTACGCATTTTTAAACTACCAGTTGTCCGAGGGGGTCTCATATGTTCGTACAAGTGTCAAATAACTGAATGTATAAAGTAATGTATTTCCAGAACAATATGGCCATACGTACAACAAAGAATTGGGAGTGTCTCCACAAAATTCTTCCAAACTCAATACAGTTTTCTTTCTCTGTTTCTTTGGTTTCGGTTCTTTTACTTCAACTTTCTGAAAACAGAACAATGGATAATTATTCCACTTCTATTAAAAACACTCTTATTGAAGGAAAAAAAAACTATAAAATATGTACTTAATGAACTTTTAAATTATTGAAGAAAATTACTGACCAGCATACCTGGGCTCAAATTGAACAATAATAAACTTCAAAACTGATAATTAGTGTTGCCATTTTGCTAATAAAGGTTAGAAGGCATTGGAAAAAATTGCTCGTACACATTTCTGAATAATAATGTTGTTTGTAGTAGGCCCGAATTTTCTAGTGAGAAAAAAGTAACTAGAAACCATTTGAGACTTGCATACACCACTTATCTAGACGTTTAACTCTGCATGTTACAAGAACCAAAAAAAAAATACTCATAACTATGTCAATGTTTATGTTAATAAAAAAACCTATTTTGAAAATTTTTTATAAAAAGTCACGTTTTTGAAAAGAAAAATAACAGAAAAATTGGCCCATTATGTTTTCAGTTGCTCAGAAATCAAATGTATATATTTTTTTAAATGGGGACCATTTAGCCCCAAAATCAACACTGTTCTTCCTCATCCCAAATGAAAGTGATCTATGAAGTTTGATTAAAATCTGCTACTTGGAATTTAGCTACCATGCTGAAAGTACAAGTCTACTGATGAACAAATAGACAATATAATTGTTATATCTCTTCCAAACCTCTTTTTTTTGTTGAGGAGAAAAAAAAATATAAATGATAAGTGTTTTGTGTATTCACTGTTTTCTTGTTACAGAATAATTTTGCAAAAACTATGCAAGAGCTATTTGGGAATAGCCAGTTTTGAACTGACAGACTAGACTTACTTATTAAGTATAAATACACAAAGTGTATATTTTTTTGTGAAAGAGTCAATGCAACCTCTCCCAATAGTAACAGATACACAACACTTGGATTAAGAGATATACAACAATAGTAACAGGTACACACAACACATGGATTAGGAGATATACAACAACAGTAACAGGTACACACAACACATGGATTAAGAGATGTACAACAATAGTAACAGGTACACAACACATGGATTAAGAGATGTACAACAATAGTAACATGTACACAACACTTGGATTAAGAGATATACAGCAATTGCAACAGGTACACAACACATGGATTAAGAGATGTACAACAATAGTAATAGGTACACAACACATGGATTAAGAGATGTACAATAATAGTAACAGGTACACAACACATGGATTAAGAGATGTACAATAATAGTAACAGATACACAACACTTGGATTAAGAGATATACAGCAATAGCAACAGGTACACAACACATGGAGTAAGAGATGTACAATAACAGTAACAGGTACACAACACATGAATTAAGAGATGTACAATAATAGTAACAGATACACACAACACTTATTACACTGCACATTCAACAACATTAATAAATTAACACATTTAATAGCTTAATCATGGGTATCAAGATTTTCGAACAAATAAGAAGAAAGTGGTGATAAACCTTTATTAGGAATGATTACAACTCGAAGAGAACGTTAGTATTTTACCTTTGAATCATCATCCTTCTCTCTTTTTAGGACGTATAGTGGTTCTTCTTCTGCTGAGAGAACATTGGAAATAAGCATGTATAATGAAATTGTATTTATAATATATATATATATATATACATAAACAATGTAAAGAGAGTTAGGAAGCATCATGCACTGATGAAAAGCTTTTAGATGAGTTGTTAAGGCTTTACCGAATGCGTCTTTCAAACTTTTGTGATAACTAGAGTATTGTTAAGCATCTTTTTCTAATAAATAGGTTTTATTTGTTTGTTTCTTGATAAGCACAAAGCTACACAATGGGCTATCTATTCTTTACCCATCGTGGATATTGAAACCTAATTTTTAGTGTTGTAACCCTTCATATTTACCACTAAGCGACTAGGAGAAATATGTAAATAGTTAGTTAACTACTGGGATACAAAGTGAGTTTTGATAGTGATACTTTGCTGATATACTTTTATTATTCTCAAAACACAAAACTTTTAAGTTTAAAATAAATAATCTGGTCAATAATTATAACTCTTCCATATTATTTTAAGTATGTGACTATTACATGTAAAGAAAAATATATATTTTAAAAATACCAGGAAAACCTGTACGTTTAGGACTTGAAGAATCAGTTCTATTTTTGTCAACACAGTTGCCATTGCCTTCTTCATTTTGTGGCACAGAGGCTGAATTTTCTAAATATTTTGGTGGCAAATGATGTTCTACTTGTTCTTTATCAGTTTCATCTTCCTCAACAGGTTCTTTATACTTAAAAGATATTTTTTCTGTCAAATTATTATTATCTTGTGAATGCCATTTCTTCTTCTCTTTCTGTTCCATTTTCTTTTCTAGTCTAAAGTATATAATAACAGTGCACTATTATCATAATTATTTTTTTAAGAAAAGAACTAAATCCTCAACATAAATCATTTCCTATTTCAGGTGACTTCATCAAATATCAGAATCATTTACACTGAGAATACGATAACCATAAAAAGTCAAAAGTTACGCACTGTAAAAATAGAAAAAATTAAACTCAATGCTTAGATATACTACCTTAACAAAGAGTAACACACTACAACTAAATATACACTACCTTATTTAACACATGATAACTAAATATACACTACCTTATATAACACATTACAACTAAACATACACTACCTTATGTAACACATTACAACTAAATATACACTACCTTATGTAACACATTACAACTAAATAATACAATCTACCTTATATAACACATAACAACTAAATATACACTACCTTATATGACACATTACAACTAAATATACACTACCTTATGTAACACATTACAACTAAATAATACAATCTACCTTATATAACACATAACAACTAAATATACACTACCTTATATGACACATTACAACTAAATATACACTACCTTATGTAACACATTACAACTAAATAATACAATCTACCTTATATAACACATAACAACTAAATATACACTACCTTATGTAACACATAACAACTAAACATACACTCTACCTTATATAACACATAACAACTAAATATACACTACCTTATGTAACACATTACAACTAAATATACACTACCTTATATAACACATTACAACTAAACATACACTCTACCTTATGTAACACATAACAACTAAATATACACTACCTTATGTAACACATTACAACTAAATATACACTACCTTATATAACACATTACAACTAAATATACACTCTACCTTACATAACACATTACAACTAAATATACACTCTACCTTATATAACA